AATTTTTTATCTTTTAACTTACCTCAACTATATGTCACTCTATCTCAAACCCAAAATCTTTTATTTCCCTGTATAGGAACCCTAACCATCTTTATTGGATATAAAATACTAGCAGCTTGGCAGCTGCTGTAGACTGTAGTGCTACATGTAGATATATATGGTTCTCGTTGGGAAAGGAAGCCGCAGAGGACTTTGCTTAAGAAGGCTTAAAAATTTCGTGGGCCAAGCTATTAACTAGGCCGTGTTCCTTTCCTTAATAATCTTGGGCTTCGTTGGAGAAGCGGGAATAATAATATAGTGGCCCCAAAATATCACAAGAACTAGGAGGCACGCAGCCTCCGGTGAGGTTTGGCACCGTTTGATGGCTTTCCGTGAACTAGGTTCACCGTCAATTGCGGCCATAACGGTGTGGGCTATGGTGTTAGGTCACTAAAATTATATTTTATTTAATTAATATTTGTAATTTTTTTAAATAAATAATTATATGATCTGTAAATATAAATTTATAAATTAATTTTAATTTTTTTTTGAACATTTTTGACATGGGACGGGTTCGAAACCCGTCTAAAAGATGAGGAATGCACCTATTTAATGGCTAATGCCATTGGACCTCTAGGATTAGGTGCATAAATTAATTTTAATTTGTTAAGTAAAAATATTAATTATTTAATCAATTATTAACTGTTTTTAATAATTATAATTAAATTAACTTAAATCAATATTTTTTAACGCAAGTTTAATGGCCTTAATAAAAGGTTTGGTGACATAACCACACCTGTCAATAACAGAATTTTGTAATTGCATGAATCAACCTTGTGTCCATATTTAGCACCACTGGGGAAGAAAATTTTTTGGGAAACCTTCTATTTAATTAGAATTTTACTTTATGAGATATAGAGATTTATTTAAAATTCAAGGTCATATTATATCTGAATCTCTAGATCATCGCAGTTGTAGCCTAAACAAAGCATAATCTGGAGCAAAGATAAAACTTTGAAATGTAGCAGAGGAATTTCAGAATAAAGACTTTATGGACACTTCATTCATTGCTGAATCTTATATCAAAGGCTAGCTAGGTAGTGCAATCATATCATGGATCCTTGTATTCTTCCCCACTAAACATAAACTAAACACCTGCAACAGTAGGACATAACATCCAATTCCAAATACTAGCAAAACTAAGAAAGGAAAGGAAGAGCAGAAGCTCAAGAAGTTAAGGTAGCCATTAATCCTGATATCTTTTGCAGCGTCTCGCCACTATTTTGGCGAGTTTTTGAATATTCCCCTTTGGATGATGAAAGACTCTTCTCACCAGTATCGCGATAGAGAACAAACAAACGTAGAGAACAATGAAAAGAGTCGATACACTATGGGGTCCAATGCTGCATAACGAAGTCCCATAACAGCAAAACAACAGTAGAGCTACAATATTGACGAAAATACTTCTCCGCTTCTGTATCATTCCACAGACTTGATGTAGTGAGACAACAAATGCTGCAGTGTTGAAGAT